GACACGTGGCACCAGCAACCGCCGAACGCGTAGCAACAGGTGCCTATAAATACCTCCAAGGTGAGAAAGGTAGTTTCCTCTTGGAACTCGAACTTATTGAATGCTCATATACTCTTTGTTTACTCCCTAAAACCGACTACTAATTCTCACGCCGGAGGTACAACGGGGGACAAAGCCCCGACCTCATTTTGCAGGTAACATTCGTTGATTTGAGCAACCGGAACACCCCACACGTCATCATCATCGTGGAGGTAAATTTTGTGATCATTTCAAGTTTCATGACCATTTTGTTAGGGTAAGTAAATTTCCATCACAAAGAAATAACTAAATTTTAGGCTGCACGTAGATAATGGTAGGATTTTATTTATAGCATGAAATATTGTCATAGTAACATTTAATTTGTTCCAAGAAGTTAAACAGAAACTTGTGGTACTTAATAGGGCTGTGAAGCATCGGTGCTGATTGACTCCGCTCCACCAAAAACAGCAGAGAAGGATTCACCAGCTAATAATACCAACCTTAGAGGATTTAAAGTAATTGACAATGCAAAGGCCAGGCTTGAAGCTTTATGTCAATGAATCATCTGGCGCGCTAATGTACTTGCATTTACAGCAAGGGATAGTTTTGAGATAGTAAGACTCCTTTCATTTACAATGTTCTCATAAACTCATTCGTGCAAATTTGATTACAACTTCGAATTGAATTTTTTTTTTTTTTTTTTATCCGTAAATAATTAATTGTATTGATCAAAACCATGTACAAGTACACCGGACATTCCCGGGCGAGAAATCAAACATCAATGGATCATAGAACCAAATACATCAAATACCGGGCATACCCGGGTAATCAAAAGAGAAACAAAAACATCAATTACACAAGCAGCATCAGAGACTCATAAAGAACTAAAACATGCGGATACAAAGTGAACATGACTTTGTATATGTGTGTTTTAATCCATCTAACCACGCTCTCAACTTGTGAATTAAGATTTTCAAAAAAATTTCGGTTCCTTGCCATCCATAAATGGTAGACGGTGCTAGCAAGCGCGATCTTCTTTGCCTTGCTATGCCAAGTCGTTCCCCTTGCTTCTTTTTTCATTTACTTTAAGGCACTTGGAAGTGTAGACATGAATCGTCTAATCCCAAGCCATCCTTGAACTTCTTTCCATACCGAGGCAGTAAAATGGCAACCAAAAAATAGGTGTTGCTCCGTCTCCATATCAACATTACAAAAGCAACAATATTTATCATTATCAATATCTAAAAACACCAATTTGTCTTTAGTAAGCAATCTGGACTGTGCAGCTAGCCATAGAATAAAAGCATGTTTGGGTGTAACTGATGAGTTCCAAACGGTACCTGCCCAAGTCTTCTTAGTTCCCTTTATCCTGAAAAATTCATAAGCCATTTTGTTGCAAAAGTGGCCTGAAATTTCCCAGCTGCCCAGCCGAAATTGCCCAGTCCGAAATTCACTCTGTCCAGTCCGTTCTTGAGGCTGTCCACGTTCAGTTTGAGGCTGCCGCATCACTGTTTCCTGCTGCCCATTACCGTTAGAAACAGCCTGTATGCGTGCATTACTCCCCTCATTTCCAGATCCATGCTGTATTTGCTGTGCATGCGGCTGCCCATGAACAAGTGTTGGCTGGGGTATCCGTCCAGCAACACTGCTTTCCCCAGTCTCACTAATCTGCCCCCTTAAATCCAGCAATTTTTTAATCAATGGGGAGTCATCTTTCCTGCCCCTGTATTCCCAAAAATTGCATCCATGTAAGAAGACATGGTTAACCCACCTTACCCACATGGTATCTTTCTTGCATTGGATATTCCAGAGAGTTTTAGCCAAAAGTGCAAGGTTCCAACACTTCATATCTCGAAAACCAACGCCCCCCTCACTTTTTGGTAAGCATACATTACTCCATGCAACCAATGGTTTTTTGGATCCCCACAAGAAGTTCCGACGAATAGCAACAATTTTTGAGACCACCGTTGATGGAATAGGAAGAATAGAAAGCCAAAAACATTCCACTCCTTGGAGTACCACTCTAATAACTTCCGCCCTCCCCGCATAAGATAATGTGGCCCTAGACCAAATCAAATTGATTTTATTCTGCAGACAGGAGGGCTTGGTTATGATTTTCCTGCTCGTAGAAGAGAAGGCTGAATTTCTATAGCTACTGAGGCAACTTCAAATTTTCCACCTTCAACTTCTAATGTAAATCAACTCACTCAAACCTTTTCAAACAAGATATTAAATCAAAACACATTGCTTAGGTAAAGTAAATTAGCAGCATTTATCTTGAAGATGAGTCTAACCCAAGTCTTAACAGGCTATGCATTTGAGCAAACTGCAAAGTTTTCAGTAGCTGATAGAATAATTGGTTTAACATTATCCTCCGTGCAAGATCAAGTTAAGAGACATGAAAATTGCAATCACTTTTGAGTTACAATCATACACAGAAACCAAAGATATACATGTTTGTCAAGTCCACAGACAAGCTTAAGAAAGCAGCAACAATAAGAACCATTGCAAAAAATGAAGTGCCTTTTGCTTAAGAATTAACATTCATTGTGGTGGTCGACTTCATTGTAATGTCGTAAGTGCTCCCTTTAATGCAGATTAAAGGATACAAAAATAGGTGCAAATCGAACCTTCTATACGTCAACTGATAATAAATCCAAAAAATAATAATAAAAAATAAGGCACAAATTCATTATCAATGTTTGGCTGGTTAAAAAACAATTAAGACCCTGTTTGAAATCTAAAAATTTCCATGAAAAATGATTCCATTTTTCAACTTTTGCCTTGTTTGATACCATAAATTTGCCATGGAATTGGTTTTCCAAGATGGCTCCCACGTGCACTTTTTCTAAGAAATCATTGAATTGATTTTCCCACCATTTTGGTGGGAAATTGAAATTCCAAGTTTTTCTTTTTTGACAATTAAAACAAATTTTATAACTAATTGTAAAACAAATTTCACTTTAATGGACAATTTCCCTGTAAAATAAAGTCAAACGAATACTAAATTTTAATAAAAAAGATTTTATAGGATTTTTTTTTTTTTACAATGGAAACAAACTTTATAACCAATTGTGAAAAAATATCACTTTAATGAACAATTTCAATGTAAAACAAAGTCAAACGAACACGAAAAGATCCAAAAATTTAAAATTTTTCCGAGTGAAAACTTATACCAATCAAGCACACTTCATTAACAATTTCTTGAAAAACAAGTTCTAGACAATTATTTTCTCAGGAATTCATTTTCTTTCCACTCATGCAATTAAACTGATCCTAACAAAATAAATTGCAGCATCGGTTCCAAAAATCATCACTGTGGCAACTTTCGTTTGATTCGATTATTAAGTAAAGTCGTTGTCAACTCCATGATGGCACTGACTATGTCTCCATTGTGAGTCTTGAGAGCCTTGACGGCCTTACTCCTCGACACCCCTGCTTGGGTCATGACCAGATCGATGTCACGAGCCTCGACACCAGTCTCATCAATCTCTTCCTCTTCCTCTTCCTCGTCTGCCTGTGTGGCAGCAGCTGCAGTAGATGCATCAGGTTTTGCGATCATAGAACTCATGTCTGGCATCCTGAATTGTTGGGCAGCCTGCGTCTGTAGCTGAGAGCTCAAATCCTCTATCTTAGCCTCCCCAAATATGACATAGGTCTCAGAATTTGGGCTTTTGAAGACATCAGGTTTTGAGATGAAAAACAATACCTGCAGTATCATGATTTTGTCAAAGGCTTAGAAGATTAGAATATCTGCATCAATAAATTAGATATATCCATGATACCTACAATATCTGCAAATTAGTTAGAGCCACAGAATGAACGCGGAATTAGACTAAAAACTTACATTTTTGGTTCTCTTAATGGTGACACGACTAACACCAGTAACAGGTTTCATTCCAAGTTTCAACATCGCCTTACGACTCTTCTTCTCACTTCGGCTTTGTTTAGAACTTCCATTTGTCCCTGTGATGAATTTTCTATCAAAATAAAACAGAGAAGACAACTAATTTGACAAATAAGTCAAACACTGAAGTTATTTCTAGACTTCATAAGCCGAAGAAATAATTAACTATTGTTTTAAAGACACGTTGATACTAAACACAGAATGCAGAAAATTTACAGAAATTTGTACACATTGCAGAAATTGCCAGGACATTTGCAAGCAAAATGAACCAACAAATTGGCTGAAGGATTTGCTTTGTTGGTATGAGCACGATTCTAACAATCTTTGCGTCTTCTCAATGAGGTGCAAATTACTCATCTTGATTCACATTCTTTCAAAATACTAAAGAACCCCAGAAGATTTTGGAAATTTTAACAGATAATTAGACATGTAAATAGTTTCATGCAGTTGGGAGCTTAAAGGTCAAAAACAAGGGGTGTTCTGAACTCATTAACTTACTACAGTTATATGCAACAAAAAATCCAATATCATCATGAAGTTTAGTTGCATTGATGCACACAATGGACTAATATATCACAAAACATGTTCCTGAAATAGCTCAATAACCATGACAAAATCATACATTAATTAAGAAAAACTCATTACTATGACAATAATGCATCATAAAGGACATTATTTATTACTTGGATAACATAGGGCATCTCAGTGATTTTTTACTATACGGTTTTCCCTTTTATTCAGGCCATCTCCAACCCATTTCACTAAAATAGTGCAACGTTCACGTCAAAATGGTGCAACTTTCGCACCATCTAATTTAGTCATCTCCAACTTATTACACCAAATATTGCACACCAAATAAACAGTGGTTCCTTTGTTTCCTTATATTTTACTTCTCAATAATCAATTTATTTCAAAAATTATTTAATTACAAATTCTATTACTACTAAAATTACTAATTCAGATATTACATTTAATTAAGAGCATGTTAGACCCTCTTTAATTTATTTTATTGTTTGCTATTATTTTATGGTTTGCTACAGACCATTTTCAACCATATATTCACAAAACAAAATATTCTACACGTATACAAAAAACTTTTTCCTACTTTTAACCACACATTCCCATAAAAATCACAATTCAAAACTCATTTTTCTACATAATGGTCGTCAAACTGGCGCTAACTAATGTATTGCCTTAATTAATAAATTAAAAAATATAAATTTTATTTTATTGTAGTAAATAGTTATTATTCATTAATTGATTAGAATTTATCATAAATGTTAATAAAAATAATAATCAAATTAAAATTATATAAATTAAATTAAATAAGTACTAAAAAGGATATAATAGGAATTAAAATTTGTAGTATAAAATGAAGGACGAAATGTAAAATAAGAAAAACTATATAAATTACAACAAATGAGCCAATGTGGTGTCAGGGCCGAAGCACGACTTTTGAAAAGCCAAAAGAAGCTTTCAAGACTTAAAAGTAGCTTTGTTTCCATTTGGCTAATTCTATGAAAGTGCTTTTGCCCTTCAGAAGAGCTTTGCTTCCTCTAAATGCACTTCTCAAATAGGAAGTGTTTTCAAAAATTGCTTTTCAAACAAAATTTAAGCTAGCATCCTCCAAAAGTTAGGAAGCAAAAAGCCATGCCAAAAGGGATTGAAGGAGATTTTCACACCAATTTAACATTTTAAGCCAAATTGGTGCAAGGGTTGCAGTTGCTGGGATTAGCTTGACCCAGCTGCGGACATGAACAAACGGAATAAAGAAATCAAAATTCTGTGATTAGGTTCTGAAAAAAAATATATATGCTTAAAAACGAAAACATTTCCGGGTCATTACAAATTCCAGATATTTATACATCAATTAGAAGCACACGTCAAAAAATTAGGCAATAAGCAGTAAACATTTAAGAACTAAATACAGGGCATTCATAGTAGAAAATAACAATGACCATTAAAGAAATATAGAGAAGAAAAATGACCTGCAACACCATCTTCCTTGTCATCGTCCTCATCATCAGAGTCCTCGGCGTCATCTTCGTGGTCCTCATCGTCCTTCATGTCCTCCACCACAGGCTCATCCATCTATCCATTAACAATAATAAACAGACTGAGATTCAATTGTTTCTTATGTATATAGTTTTCTTGGAAAAATCTTCAGCGAGTACCTGAACCTTTTTCTCGGTCTCAATTTCTTCAATGACGGGACCTGGCATGTTTGCTTGATTGGCTTCCGACTGTGGTGAAGGTAGACTTCGTTGGCTTTTGGGTAAATGAAGGTGGAGTAATAGGGGTTTTTATTCTAGGGTTGCCTAAGTTTGGTCTTAGCCGTTCAACCCAATCACTTCCGAACATGTGGCCCAGCCGCCCATGTATTAGTGTATCTATTCCAGTTCTGGGCTCGAATTAGGGGTTTCAAAAGAATATTCCTATCTAGCACAATTGACACTGAATATCAGTTTAGATGGTCACACTTTAAATGCAATTAGATGAATGTTTTGATTTTAGGTTTAAATGAACCTATCATTTAATAACATCTAATTGTAATCCGACCGATGCTTATATTGCTATCCAGCACAATTGAGGCTGAAATATCAGTTTAGATGGTCACACTTTAAATGCAATTAAATGAATGTTTTGATTTTAGGTATAAATGAACCTATCATTTAATAACATCTAATTGTCATCCGACCGATGCTAAGCATCAGTAGTGTTAAATAACATTATTCGCGTCAAAATATCATTCTCCCTCCTCCTTTGCTAGGAATTGTTGCATCCTTTCAATTTTTCTAAAAATAATGTTATTGAGTCCCACTTGAATTACAATCACAGTATATGTGGCGTTAATGTAATATTAAATGATAGGTAAAATTAAATAAATCATTTAATTATACATTTCATTTAGTCTATTAGCTAACGCTACCTAAATTGAGGTTGTAACCCCAATAAGGTCAGAAAACATTACTCTTTTTTTAAATATATCTTTATAAAAAAGAAATAAATAAATGGATATTGATGCTCGTTCAATCTCTAAAATTGACGAAGTATTAGATATTTATTAATTGTATTTGTACTAATCATTGTTAATAACACTAATTGGGATTTTCAGCATGGGAATCAACATCAACCTCTAATGACTACACGTTAGCACTTGGCTTTGATACAAACATACGTCGAACATTCCTACCAGATCTTTGGGCATACGTCTCTTACATTTCACACAAACTACTCTCCATTGCATTTGAGATTCGGATTATAACAATTTTTACACCTTCTAAATTATGTATATTATACTTTCTGAAATTTTTACAATACTATGGAAGTGAGTGGGAACTTGGGGATTAGTGGAATAATATACGCACGACAATGCAATAGTAGCATCAGAAAATACTTCTAAAAATTTTCTCACTTGAAATGCAATTTCTGAATCAAGCTCTTGTAAATTATTTTTTGAATTGCGTGCATTTCAAGTGTTGTAATAAACAGTAATAAGACGTTCTAGGCTTTACAATATTTTAGCAAAAGGTAAGTAGAATTCTATCTATAACCTATATTAGTAGGAGTGTGCACAGTTTGATTCGGTCTAGTTCCAAAACGAAACGTACCGAATCGAATACCAGTGGGAATCTTAATAATGAAACGATTTGTTCCATATTTAATTATTGTAACGACCCGAATTTTCAAATGTAAATTTTATAATTTAAGTTGTGTCGCTACGACATCTCCGTTAATTTTAGAAATTATTTTATGTCCGTCGGGTCGTCTAGCAAAAACGTTTAATATAAGAATTCAAAACGTTTTTTTAAACTTAAAAATTCAATATTTCCTTATTGGGTCGAATTTTACACCACATCGATTTTAAATTTCTCTTAGTCCAGTATTTCTCTTTGGCCCAAGTCTAAGCCCATTATCAGCCCAAATCAACTAACCAAATTCTGGAGCCTACGTTTATATGGCTCAATTGTGTCAAACCTAGAAATTCAATCAATTCCATCTCCAAATATTCACTCACGGCTGTCAAAATTTCACAAGAAATCTGGACATTCAACTAGGTAATTCCTTCAGCATTGAAACAATTATTTTCCATTGATTTCACTACCACCGTCGTCTAATATACTGACTCTGTGCACAGTTCTTCCAAACTTCAAGTTACAATCTAGAACAAGTAAATCACTAACGGCAAATTTGTACAGGTAATTCGAAATTAACCTTTGTTTTCTTTGGAATTCTATAACATGTTTCTTACATACTCATAAATGGAAAAAAAGGAGGAAAAATTTGCAGAAAAGAGAATCTGAAATTTAACCTCATACTCCTTCCGGTTCAATTGCAATTCCAATCCTTGATCTCCAATCACGGCTCTCCAATCTTGCTCTTGCAGAGAACTCGAAAAAAAAAAAAAACCCGAAGTCGCCAATAATTTTTCTTGCCAAACGAGACATAGCACGGCCTCTTCTCTCCCTCTATTGTTTGAAATACTGTAGCACGAACAACCTTTTTCATTAGGTTTCATTCCCTGGCATCAATTTTTGTTTGAAAACCATTAATATGTGAAACCCATTTGGAATTAATTGGGATCTTGAAACAGGGAGCCATCTGTGACGTGAAAAGGGATTTGGGGATGGGGGGTTGGTTTTAAATGTGAGAATTTCATTTTAAATCCCCAAGTTTTGCTAAAAGTGTAAGTTAGTCCCCTATTTAATTTTAATTCTTTCTTCACCCCTAAAGTTTATGTATTCTTCAAATTAAAGATAAAATATTTTCTAATTTTATTTTATTGCCCCTAAACATTTTAATTTTCATCATTAGACCCTTAATATTTAAAGAATTTTAAAATTTCTCATTTTCTTTACTTTCAAAAATTCCAATCAAGTCCCTAAAAGTTTTAAAGCATTAATTAAGATTTAGTATCCTAAATTATATTAATTTTGTCATTGCTAGACGAGTTCGCGGGAAAAGTTTAAAGCACGGTAACATCACATCAGTTCAATTTCAAGAAAATTTCCAAGACTTTGAGGTGGGATTTACATTTAAGCAATTGTGATTATTTTTGTCCATGTTAATTCTTGATGTGTGATTTTAATTGTGATAAAATGCTTATACATATGAAAAGGTTGCCAGGGACCGTAAATAGGTCCGGGATCGAAAGTGGGTCCTTGGGGGTGTCCCACAGTGCAAAATTGTTATGCGCTTATAACATGTTGTCAGGGACCGTAAATAGGTCCGGGATCGAAATTGGGTCCTTGGGGATGTCCCACAGTACATATTTCTACAGTATGTTGTATTGGTATTATATTCATAATTTAATTTCATGTTTAGATTTAACTTGGACTGATTGCTGTCTCCCCACTGAGTATAATTCGTTATGCTCACCCCAATATTTTCCACCATTTCAGGTTAAGAAGCTCGGCAAGGCAAGGCAATGAGCGGGACAATATTGATTAAATAATAGACAATTTAATTTATAGATTTTTGAAACAAGTATTTTAATAGTTGGTTTCCATTTTGACAATTAAATTTCAAGTTTTAGTATTTTTGCAAATTTTGACACTTTGCTTATTTTATTTGGTATTGACACTTGGATATGAGCAAATTATTCAAATGACGTTTCCGCATTTATTTCTAATGTACTATAGTTGAGAAAAAAATATTTACGCATTTTGGCGTTTATTTAGAATCCTTATTTACAGGATATTTCTACCTTAGTAGCGCCTTGTGTTTATTGAAAATTGGGGCGTTACAGTGTTTTTAACGACCTGGGTCCCACTTAACGGGCTGTCCCGGCCGTTAGATCGACGACGTACTGTCCCCACTGTACCAACATGGTCTTTTCAGCATGCTTTGTCCTCACTCGCACGCTCCCTGAGAAAACTTCACAGAGGGTCACCCATCATAAAATTGCTCCAAGCCAAGCACGCTTAACTGTGGAGTTTCTAACGATGGACTTCCGGAAAAAAAGGTGCACCTTGTTGGTATGAGTAATATCTATCAAATCTTTTAAGCTTTCTTGGTCTGGGTATTACAATTATGGAACCGAATTGGAATTGGCCCGAACCAACCAGTTCCGGTTCGATCCGATTCTTTACATTGAAAATATGTAAACAAAGTGTTCACTAATCAAAAATTCGAAAGACGTTTTCGACTGTTAAACAATATCATATACACCTGTCTAGCGGTCTAAACTATATATACATATATATATATACAAAAACAATCTCCTAAACACTGGTGCTTAACTTATCCTAAACACTGATGACATTGCAAATTAACTACTAACAAATTTAATCATTAGTATGGGATTGACCATCATTCTCCAAAAATAGAAGGTCTATGGAGGACTTTAGTAATATGTTAGAGGGAGTAATTACACTTGGACTAATGGCAGGATCTGTGAGAAGTTAGACAGAATTCTGATTAACGCTCAGTGGTTAAATGAATATAATGGTTTCGAGGCTGAAATGTTAAACAGGGACACATCAGACCACTGTCCCTTCTTGATGAAGTGTAAGATTCAACAAATTAGTATGAAGACCTCATTCAGATTCCAAGCTATGTGGTGTCAAAATGAAAATCTACTGGATACAATTAAAAGAGGTTGGGATACCCCCCACTTAGTCCTTACTCTGGAGGATTATTTGGATTTTACTTCAAACTGAAAAGACTCAAAAACACTCTTAAAAAGTGGAATAAAGATACTTTTGGTAACATCTTTGTTAATATCGCTAAGACCGAAGAAGAGGCTCTCAAGAAAGAAATTATGTATGACAAATCCAAATCCCCAAATGATAGAATGGAAGTAAATGAGGCATATGCTAAGCTCAATCGATTGCTTTCAAAGGAGGAAGCCTTCTGGAAACAAAAGGTAGGGATTAAATGGCTGAATGGAGACAAAAACTCTAAGTTTTTTCATGCTTGGGTCAGGAAAAAATGGGCTAAGAACAACATTAATTTGATTTCCAGTAATGGGGTTGAACTGAAGGAGCCTAGGGACATACAAATTTCTGTTGTGGAATATTTTGAAAGGATCTTAACCAGAGAGCATACTGGTGGATGTGACATATTACTGGATAATATTTCACAACTGGTGGCTCAGTCTGAAAATGATATGCTTAACGCCAGATATTGAAGAAATTAAAGAGGCTGTTTACAGCATTAACAAAGACAGTGCAGCTGGCCCTGATGGTTTTTCTAGCCTATTCTATCAATATAGTTGGGA